CTCTAGAACCGGACGATTTCCGATTTTTTGGGCAATCCGGTCCCTTTTTACTATTTTCGAGTCGAACCGGGCGAGTCCGGTTCGACTCGGCGTTTTTTAAAACGCTGGTCTCAAGTATCAAGTACTTCTCTTGGAAGTAAACACGTCCCGATGCGTAGATCCAAGTAATTTTTAGTAAAAAAAAGAAGTAATGTACATATAGAGGGGATTTCAAGGTTCCAATGACATATCAAAGCTCAAGATAGGTGCTTCGTAACCTAAACAAAACTAGGATCCGACTAGTGTAGGAAAAATCGAACCGGAATGGTTAACTGAACATGGGCCGAAACCAATTCAACTGGACTAATCGAGCAAGTCCCAGACGGTTAAAAAAATGTTAAAAACATGTCAAAAAAATGCAACAAAATATGAAAAATGTATTTAAAGTATGATTAAATAAAGCACATCCAAATGAAATTGAAAATTAATGAAAAAATAGATTTTAAATATTTGATTTGTGGCCAAGGGTATTTTTAAAATTTCCAAAAACGATGAAAAAACGTAAAACTAAGTATTAATGGCCAAAACAATTTCCAATGTTTGCTAAAATGATGAAAAACATTAAAAAATGCATTAAAAATAAAATACCTTATTTTTTGGGATTTTATATAAGTTTTTTGAATTTTTTCAAAAATACCCGCTCGGTTTCCTAAAACCAACAGAAACCGAAACCGGCTACTGGCCACTTCCGATCTAACCGGGTCTAACTGAGCGATTAGAATTTGAACTGCCTGATTTTTCTTAAATTGGATCCGACTCAATCTTTAAGTGTAACTAGTGTTTTAGAAAAAAATAAGAAAAACAAGGTTTGACTTGGTTCCCCATAAACTCAAGTAGAATTGCCAATTTTGTTCTAGATGGCCTAATTTGGGGTGGTCAGGTAACAAAGAAGTTTAAAAAATAAAATAAAAAACATAGATAAATTGGGTGATTCTTAGTTCATCGAAGTAAAATCATTCGCCTTCCTATCCCGATTGACCTCAGGGGCTTACAAGTTGGATGGACAGTTTTTAAGTCGCTGTATATTCATGGCTAACTTTGCTTAATTTCTGGACAAGATATATATAATTCTTTAATGGAAAAATACAGGATAATTAAGCATAATAGCTATTAAAAAAATTATATATGGATGTTATATATTCGAAGGTGTGTGTATTCATATCTTCTTCCCAAAAAAAAAAAAACAGTGTTGCTCATTGTTTGTTGATTGGATAATGATACTTCTCCTCATTTTGCAGAGATAAATGGAGAAGGAGCCTCTAATTTCGATACATGTGGATTGCATCAATGGTGAATTGCATTAATCTCAGTTTCCATTAAAGATAGAGATGCGTGAGGAAGGGACAAAGTGAGTTTGGGTGGAAGGACCCACCCATCAACCCATCTCGCCTAATCTAAGCTCAGTGTGCCATACACATTTTGTGAATATGACGTGGTAAAGCTTGCTATACATCACCACTCGTATATATTTTACTTACGTCTCTAATATACTAGCCGTCCAATCCAAATGGATGGTTGTGATAGCTACAATTATAATGTTATGAGTGAGCCACGAACCATTTGATCGAGATATGACGTCTCAGAGCATTTTAATTTTAAAATTTTCTATAAACCATATGAATATGAAATTTGGTGTATGTCATCATCTCAATTAGAGAAATCTAAAAAATATTTAAAATAAAATAAAATGACCAAAATATCTATAAAACATTCAAAGGTATTTTGGTCATTTTATTTTATCATGACTTTTTTTTTTTTCTTTGGTGCAAGCTTAAGAGAGGATTTGACGACCCTAATTTGGTGCCAATATCATTCCTAAAAAAAATTAAAAAGAAAACAAACTAGTGTTTAGGTGTGACATTGTGATTGAAGCCATCTCAGCCGTCCATTCAGATTGGATTACACATCTTTATGCATCGCTTGTATATAGTGCCCAGTGGGAGATCTCCATTGTCCATTC